AAAATTTTTTTGCTATTATAAAATTGAACATATAACTTGATTAAAATCAAATATATTGTTCTTCAGATCAAATCACTTTCAATTCAGTTTTTTGTTTTTTTTTTTTTTTCCTTTTACTAGTCCTTTCGAGGAAGTTAAATTTTACTAAACGTTTATTCGTGCAATTTATTTATTATTTAGATGATGTAAATAATTTATTGCTTTTTGATGGTCTTATGGTTATTGTTAATGCTTTTCATCTTTGTTTTTTTTAAGTTTCTCTATTGCTTATTTGTTATTGTTTATGTTATTTTATTCGTTTTTCTCCCAAAAAATTTTATTCCTTTTTTGGTGTTACTTAACCATGTTAAATTTTTTCTGTTTGGTACCAACTTATAATGTACTTATTTTTGCATTTTTTAACTTGTAATGGTTTCTTTAGTTTATAAGATCGTATTTATGCATGTTATGCTGTTATGTACTTATGTTATTACTTATAGTATGTTACACTTTAGGATGATTTCTTTTTAGACTGTAGAGAGTTATTTGGGGACAAATTTCTACATCTAAGCATTTTTTAATAACGTTAAAAAATTTCTGTAAATTCCTCCTTGTGTCGTAAAAAACAATACATTTAAATTACATTCAAATTCTAATACTTTTTGCCAGATGTCTGATAAGTCAATCACCAAATAATTCCGCATTTGTGACTAATCTATGTCTAGATCATTTAAGCCATTATGCTAATTCCTTTTTCTCACACAGTAAAAAACCCCTTGTTAGTAATCTTTGTTTCATATCAGTCAAATGTCCTCTGCCGGATATCCGGTTGTCAATTCAGTTCTGTACATAAACTAACCAACCATCCTCCATTACGGTTATTCATTCTATATTTTGGGGTGGTTTTTGATATTATTTCAGTGTTTTTATAATTGTATTATATCTATTCGTTATATATTTTTTTCATATATTTCTATTTTTTTGCTAGATTATAAGGTGATACCCAGTCTTTCGACTATTTTTGTGATGCGAAGATTTTTTTATACAATATCAAAGGTCTTCGATCTTCGATATTTCGATCGTATGAAAAAAATGTGGGGCTTGTGAAATGAAAGAGTGTTTGAAATGTGGAAGTAATTTCCAAATTCTTGGTCATTTATGTTAATTTTTGAATATTTCTTCGAGTCAGTAGAATTTTTGGGAGTTTAGAGAATTTTTCAAGATTTTTTGGTTTTCCGACTGCTTAGAAATTTAAACTCTATCGCCTTTTGAAATTAATGTAGTTTTATTCGAGTTACTAGATATTTAGAATTTTAATTTTTTGTTCATTCAGACTATTGAGTTTTTATCTTCAAATTTAGCTTTTTAGTTTTTTTCTTTTCGAAAATTTTAAAACTTTTCATTTTCCTATTTCTTTAAATTGTTTCATATATTTTTCATTTTATTTTATTATTTTTCCTTTTTTTTTGAAACAAACTAATGGAATTTTTTAATTTTCAATGTCTTGAAATTTCTATTTTATAAGTGAAAGATGTACTGCATTTATTTTTTGACATTTATTCGTATTCCATTTTCGCTAATTTTGCTTTTTTGAACACATTTTTTGATTAATTCTAGCTTATTGCATGTCTTTGTTAAATGTTGAGGCATGTATTTTTATAGTTTAACTATCACACTTCCTTTTTTTGGTATTCCCATTGATTATTTGATATCACTTGCAGCTTTCATTCCCTTTTTTGTTAATCTTTTTTAATTCAATTTTTATTATCCCTTATTATTTTTATTTTTTATTATTTTTATTTTCATTAGTTTTTTATCTTTTAATAATAATTCTTCATTATTTTTCTTCCTCTTATTTCTTCTTATTTTTTTATGGTTTTCTATTTTTTAATATTTCCTATTATTTTTCGTAAAATTTTAATCTTTTTTATTTCTTCTTATAGCTTTTTATTAATAAAAAGCAGTGATATTTTATAGAATGTGAAAGTATGCAATGTCTATTCACTGCAATTAAAAAATTCATCAGTATGCCAATCGTCCGGCCATTAATAGTACGGAAAATATCGAATGATAATTCCCAAAAATTCCTGAAATTACTACTGATCCACTAACTTCGATTTTTTTCCGTACTTTTCATGAATAACTGCGACGGGTGTTATTCTGAAATTGTGGCATGCAAAATCGCTTAATGACAGTTCAACTAAATTTCGATTCGAAACATCAATCAATTTTCTAAAAATCAAGGAAAACTTTGATGATTATCTCTCGAATGAACTCTTCGAGCATGAAGACAAGTTCTTTTTTATTATTTTTTATAATTTTTTATTACTTATGATTTTTCACTACTTTTCATTTCTTCAGTCTTTTTACTACTTTATGACTCTTTGTACCTTCTGTGATTTTTCAATATATTGTTTTTTCTTTTTACTTCTTTTTTTACTTTTCTCGTTTTTCATCATTCTCTTTTATTCATTTTTTTTAAAAGATATTTTATGGTTTTAATTTTTTTGTTCTTTTCTATTCCTTAGTTTTTGTTTTCCATTATTTTTATTCCTATTATCTTTTATTATTTGTTATTCCTTTTATTTTTTTCATATTTTATAATTTTTATTCTGTCCCATTCTTCATATTCTTTTTTATTACTCTTTGTTCTATCCTGTTGTTTTTTTTTTTTTTTTAAATATTTCAGTTTTTTTTATTCTCATTTATTATTTTCCATGTTTTTAAAAAATTTTTAAATATTTTTCGTTGTTTCTTTATCACTTTTATAAGTTTTATTGTTTTTTCGTCATTTTCATTATTATTTTTATTTTTATTGTTTTTTATTATTGCTCCTTTTTTATTATTTTCTATTTCTTTTTCCTACTTTTTACTTTCTTTCACTCTTTTTTTTTTTTTTTTTAATTTTTCTTTTATTATTATTATTTAGGAAATTATATATTTTTAATTTTTCTTTTGCATTTTCTTTTACTAACCATAGTTGTCGTATTCCCGTGACTATTTTTACCTCATACATGTCTTTTTGCTAATCACACTAACTGAATGATTTTTTCGGTTACTGTTAGTGCATGCTACTCTCACTTATTCCATGACATCTGGCAAATTCATGTTCAAACACATCAATGGTTAGACATAAAAAATCAATATCGATGGTTACATCACCTCCTACTGGTGTCATTTAAATAGTCCAAATCTGAATGAATCCGATTGCATTAGCAGTAAGTGCTAGTAAATGGTAGCAAATCGTGGCAAGTTGCGATAAATGATAGCAAGTAAATGGTAGCTAGCTGCAAATAGTTAAAAGTGGTATTAAGTGGTGGCAAGTGGTTGTAAGTGGCAGCTAGTAGTAGGTGTTGATATGTGGTGGAAATAGCAAGTGGTAGTACGTGGCAAAAAGTAGCTGGGAGTGCTAGCAAGTACTAGCAGGTAGTTGTAATTGGCTGCAAGTGATAACAAGTGGTTGCAAGCGGTAAAAAGTAATAGCGAGTGATAATATGTGGTAACAAATGGGTGCAAGTGGTCAGTTGGTAGCTAGTAATAACAAATGTAGCAGATAGCACCAAAGTAATAACAATTAGTGGTAAATGGTGGCAATTACTAAGAAGTGGTGGCTAACCTTCAAATCTTCTGGCTATTTATTTAAGTTGAACACCAGTGACGGACGACGAATCCCATTTCTATTTAAATTTTCAAATTTGAATTAATTAGAAGTTCGCTCTGAATAATTCTTTTCTTTCAATATTCTCGTAGTATTTAGTGCTTATTTGTTACTTTAACTTTTCTTTTCAATCATCACACCCTTTTCAAATAAGTAAATCATTGCGCAGATACCTTCGCGAACCATTCTGAACGGTTGCCTTTCTCAAAGTATTTTGACTTGACCTGCAGTTTAATAAATACACAAAAGTTCAATTTAAAAGTTTTGACACTTTTGCTTAAATAATAAAACCATTAAAAGATTGCTGAGATACTTACAGTGTCAAAATATTTTAAATGAGTTAAGGTTTCTGTGTCGTAGCAAATACTTTCAAATGAATTTCCAAACGTAGGCTGAACGTTGCTGACTGTGTGTAGGCGATCAGTGTCAAATAAAAGTTTCATGGCTGACTTTATCTGACTATGAAATCCTTATCTTTTTTTAGTCTAAACGATTTAAGTGCTAGATTTTGCTTTCAAAAAACCAATAACAAGAGACCAATTTTAAAGAGACCAATTCTTATCATTTAAGACTTAAACTTAAAAGAAAAAAAAAAAAAACTGAAGGAGATCAATTTCAGTCAAATTTTTTTGTATTTTCCCTGAATTTCAAATCTTTTTAACCTAAATCAAGTGATAAATTAATAAAATGAATTTACTTATTAATTTTAGCCTTCTAATATCTTATAACTTTCATCTGATATCATTTTCAATTTATTTCGACAATGAATTTGGTAAAAATACCAATTTCAAAATTCTGTGAAGGGGCAAAATTGAATTTTCATTGAATCATAGAAATATTTTGAACATGTTTAGCATGGCATAATATTTTCGGTCGACATAATCTTCCCTTTTCCAGCAAAATTTTTTATTTTTCAATTTCAAATGATAAAATGATAACGATCAATTGCAATTTTTTTAACCTAAATCAATTGACTAGTCGATGATGTTTCACATGTTTCTAATACAGAAATAGTTTGCTCATTAGTTTTAGTCTTGCAGTGTTTTAAAATTTTCGGTTGATACCATTTTCGACAAATTTCGACAATGAATTTGATAAAAATATGAATTTCAAAATGCTGAGAATGGCATAATGTTTTCAATCAATATGATCTTCCGTTTTCAGCAAAAAATTTTTCCACAACATTATAAATTATTTGAAATATCAATTTCAAATGATAATGAATTATGAGAATAGTTGATTACATCCATCTAAAAAGAAAGTAGACATCTGCTTTTTAATTAACATCAGATTTCAAATGTAAAAACAATTGTTTTGATTTGTTACTGCAAACCCTTGCTTTGTTTAAAATTTTGCGTTATTGTCATCCAAAACGTACTTTACTGGCCCAATTTGCCCGTTTACCGAATCTCAGTTGGCTTGCCCAACGTTTCAAACGTGGATCGTAGTACAGCTGTAATTTTTCACGTTTTTCATTTTGCTCGTGAAAGTAAAATTTTTGTTCCGTTATTCTCATAATAGTGCCATTTATTTATCAATTCTTAACTGACTTGTTTGAGCTAAAAATGGAAGGCTTCGTTCTTCTATGATTTAAGTAATTAGCTTTTGGCTGAGAAAACTATCGCAGTGAAATATCATTCCCCACTGAACATTTCAAATATTTAAAATATTTTTTGGTATTTTTTGCTTGTAATTGCCAGTCATTTATCTGATTGATTTATTTGTTATAACCTCACTGTTACCACATTACTATCACCTATCACAAACATTCTAATTATTACTATTACGCCTACAAAGTGACTAGTATTATTGTTCCAATTATTGTTATTATAATCATTATCACTTTTGCTTGTGAAATCGTGACATTATGATTACTATCATTATCTGTTCTGCCATCTCATTGCTCAGTTAGTCGTTGACGCTTTATTATTTCAAAATATTAAGGTACTCAAATTAGACTGAATTACTGTTTCAAAACAAAAAAAAAAAAGCTGGAAACGAACCACATTAGATAATTCATTTGGCCATTGTACCATATCATTCATATAAGGCCATAAGTCTTGCCTGTACTCGTTTGTTTCATCTAATAGTGCATCTGCAACATGAAATCAAACACTGAAAAAAATATTTTAAAAACTAATCTATAGCGGACAAAATATACTATGACTTTATTCAACTTATAAAAACAAAAGCTAAATGTGTTTTGATAAAGAACTCTGTTGCTTCAGAGATCAAAGGATGTTCATATTAATCAATCACATTCATAAAATAAACTAACTAAATTATTTCACTTAGAATAAATTTAATAAAATAGTCAAAAAAAAAAAAAAAAAAAAAAATAGCCTTACTCTGTGCTAATGTTAGCACTGGAAGAATGCAATAAAGTAATAAATCTGTGAACATTCTCTGTGGATTCTGAGATCTGAAATTGCTTCTGATAGGAACAATGAAAGAATATGTCAAATTTTAAGTCATGCAACCGATATTTAATTCAATTATCTAATTGGTTCAATTTTTTTTTTTTTTATTATAAGCTGAATAACAGGATGATTTATAGGCCGAATCGTTTAACGATATAGTTTTGGCTAAATTTTCACGTCATAATGACTTTTTGAGATGATTTTTTTTTTAAAATTCTTCGTGGCATTCTATCATTGTGCATTAAATCTCTATCTTTTGAGATAAATCAATAATAACAGGATAATTTATAATTTTGTTTCATTTTTAAGCGTACATGATGATATTCCAGACAGATCATAATTGAAAAGAATATTTTTTAAATGAAAAAAGCAGGATTTTATGTCGTGAAAAAAAAAAAAAAATTAACAAAAAAGTCACTAATTGAAGACATATATGGAAGTTCGAAAGTTTTCAGCGTATCTGTAGATGCATTTAAGTGAATGCAAATGTACGAACTAATATCACATCCGCCGCATATAAGCACCACATATTTTTTTTTGGTTTGAGTAGATTTTCTAAATGTCGGAGCGATAAATAGAAACTATCATCGATTGAATATATTTTAAAAACCAACTGAACAGTATTTAAATTAATAGTAAAACTAATCAACAAAACAATAGTTTTTTTTTTTTGACTAATACAATAAAAGGATTTTAAATTTAATAATAATTCACAATGTTCAGATAAGTTCTTCCTTTCCTTCATATTGATTTAATAATGATAAAAACCAAAGAAAAATCATATTTGTTTGTTGCTCAAATACAATTAAAAAACACTTTGTGCTCTAAAGAAGCCAAATTTTTTGCACTTACTGACATTGCAAGTACTTTAACAGAATTTAATAGAATGATAGATAGTATTTATCATTCGAAGATTAAATACATATATATATTTTGTTTGCGACATTTGCAAATAGGTCGTTTTAATTTAACTGCTATTTAGTTGTTCAATAATTCTTTCTAAATTCTGAAAAGTTTAGGATTTGGACTTTTTGAAATTTTAAATTTATTCAATCTGTCGCATTTCAAATTATGAACAGATGCTGAAGGGAACAGAAGTTTATTTCTCTAAATGATTCAAATGAAAAGAGTCAAAAAGCAGTCCGTAAATATCTTGAATTTAATTTAAGTGTAAATATTAAGTTAGCTAAAAATATTCTGATATTCAAAAGTGAGAAGTCTCTTATACTTCATATGGCAAATATACATAATACGTGTTATCCTACTTATTACACGTATTATGGATATGTATTTATTATCATTCCGTATTTTGAACTATTTTGAACCTTATAAAAATATTTAAAAATGAGACATTCTCAAAAATGGTTAAAACTGAAAAGTCCTTTAAAATATTCAGACATTTTTTCAAGGCAAAAAAAAAATTGGTGAAAAGATGAAATTTTGAGAATTGCTTCTTAACATTTATGACATCTGTACGTGAAGCATATACGACAACTGAAAACCATATAAAAGTCGCCGCAGATGAAAGTGTCATATGACCAGATTTATTGTAAAAAGAAACGAACAAATGGCTAATTTTGCTTGTTAGCAAAATCTGACAAGTACTAATGCATCTGAAATCAGTGGGATCTGATACCAATAACTCATGAGCGATTCTGGAAAGCCTTATCGTCTCAAATATGCCTTATTTCTTTTATACATATATATATTATTTATATATTTATTATAAATGTTAAAAAAAAAAAAAAAAAAAAAAAAAAAAAAAAAAAAAAAAAAAAAAAAAAAAACAGAAAAAAAAGCAAAAAATGGAAATTTGTATTTTTTTGGACGAGCAATCAGACACAAATTGAATTAAAATTACAAGTTAAGATTCAATAAGATAAATTAAAATGGCAAAAATAGAAAGGAATGAAACAGGAAATATTAGAACCGGATAAATCACTTTCAGTGAAATAGCAAAGAAACAATTGAAAATGAATAAATATGGGAAAGAAGTGAGGAAAGGAATTGGAGGGAGAGAGAGAGAGAGAGGAAGTAGTAGAAGACCTTATTTTGTTATTCATGGAACAATATTAAAATAAAAGAAGGGAATAATAATGATAATGATTGATGTCATCAGTTGCAACAGAAAAATGGGAAGCAATTTTTTAAGAAATGAAAGATTGATGAAAAGGTCAAAAATAGAGTAAAAAAATGGTTTACTAAAAATATTCATCCCATAAATTTTTGTCATTTGCTTTCGTTTCTTTTAAATAGCAAAAATGTTATATCTGCTAGAAAAGTTATTAAATTTTGGCAAACTCTCAACTAAATTTGTTTGTTTGTAAATCCAGTAAATTAATTATCCAATCAAAATTTTGCCAGTTTATTGCAAGAAATTTTTCTCATTTCTCAACTATTACTATAGTTGTCATATATTAACTGCTAATGTTTCCGATTCACAGCTAAAGGATTTGAAGAAAGAAAGAATTAAACTAATTAATAATTAATTAATGATCATCAACCCGTCGCTCCTGATATTTGTTTATGACAGTTACTGCCTCATATATTTTCATATTAAAAGAAACTTAAGCCTATTTATTTATCGATTTATCGTGATGCTTTCTAATTAGTCACATAAGAAATATTTGAATGGATATCACATGCGTTTCTATTTTGAAACTATCAAAATCCGATAGAAAGTTGAAATCCTTTGGAAGATCAAAATAGCTTACCTTTTTGATTAACTCATTTTTGTGATGATTGATTTATTAGGAAGATTTATGATTTAATAAAATTTTTCCCAATTAAAATTTCTTCAGATAAGTGAACAGTTTTCGTTCTTTTTATCAGTTAGGATAAAATGAACATTTGAACCCTTGTAGTTCAAACTGCTTTTAAAAATGCAGGTAAATCGATCGAATGGCAATATTTTTGGAAGAGAAAAGGACAACATTACATGATTTCTATATTATGCAAATTTCTTGAATATTTGTAACAGATGGCACAACTATGAAACATCAAGAATTCAGTGATAATTTTATAATAAATCTGCCATCAGTCTTTCATCCGTTAAAATACATCTTTGATCTTATCATTATTTTCGTGAAAATCTTCGCTCATCTTTTTCATGTGACTATCATTTGGAGTAAATTGGTCTTATAATAAAAGGCGTTTTATGTAAAAAAAAAAAAATATGACTTTTTGTTTAACGATCGCTGATGTCATTTTTTCCATCTGATACAAAGCAATGTTTTTTTGATTTAGCAAAGAAATTAACTTTTTATTTTTCAATAGTTATCTTACATGTTTCTTCTTATTCTATCATACTTCAGTACCATGTTTCAAGAAAATATTTGTGTCTTTCTTTTTTATAGGAGAAAGATCAAACTATTATTATGTATGTTTGATATTTTTGATAGTATGTAGAAAAAAATTAAATATTTAGCAATATCTGATCTAATTGCATATGTTGTCAAAGTATTTTTGTGTTAACTTTAATGAGAACAAATAGGTAAGTAAATCAGGGACTGAAATATTTTTAATTTGATTAACTTGGAAGGAGTAAAATAAAGCTTAAATAAATTAAATTAAGCAGAAATGAATTAAATCAAAATGAAACAATCACCTTTAGTATTGGCTTCATAAACAACTGAATTTTTTTCTTTAATCTATTAATTGGTTCAGTCTAAAAAAAATAAATGTTAATATAATTGAAAGTAACTGGATCATTTTCGAAAGAGGCAAATAATTGATTACTATTGCTTCAATTTAAATCAAAGTTATTTTTCAATGATATTTTTACAAATCATATTTTAATGATTATACTTCACAAACTATCCTCATCTTTTCATGAAGAAAGAAAAAATAAATTTTTTAGGATTAATTTTCTCGACTTTATATTTTTCGATTTTATATTTTGCTTGGCAAATTTAATCATAAATGGTATTTGTAAGGCCATAAACAAACGGAAGTGAGTTATAATTGAAGTTATTGGGACATTTATATAAGCAAAAATCCGTTTTTAGAAGGATTGTCGCCGTTATATCAACCAAAATTTTTCAGAAATACCCAATATATTAGCAAAAAGCTAAAGAACTGCAAAGAATATCCGAAGCTTTAGGTTTCTTAGACTAAAATTTCTTTTTTTAGGCTAAGGTAATCTCTGTACAGAATTTGCTCCATTTCTGTAAGTTCTTATATATATATATATTTTAAATTTTTTCTAAGCCGCTTTTTAAATTACCCTTGCAGCGGAACTGGTTACTTTTCCAGAAATATGCAAAGAATTTAATAGAGTTCCTAATTAGTTTACCCATTTCTTGTCTCTCAAAATTTTATCTGCCTTTGTTTATTTTTTAAATATTACTTAAAAATATGTCAATCACCGATCAATCAATCAATCAATCAATCAATCAATTAGTTATCCAACTAAGTGAAAAAAGCGCCATGAGAAGTGACATCATAATAACATCGCTTATCACTTAAGAGAATTAATGCAGTTTGACAAAATGCTAGTCATATTTTACAAAGTGTTAATATAATGACAGCTTTTTGTTAAGCATTTATTGCCATCTGAAATGAAAATCATCGATGTATCACAATGACTGAAGGGTAACACCTGCAGAAGAAGCTAATTTATGAAAGTGCAAAGTAATTAACTCAAGTCAATTAAGTAAAGTGTATTCCAATTTCTCATCGAGAATTTGTCTTTCTTTGCCATTATTTATTCAGACTAATGATGTTAAAATTAATTAGTTAAGCAAATTAAAAGTTTCAAAAGGTAACATTATCTTCATTAGAACAAAAATTTTCAATCACTGTAAGTTGGCGATTTAGCAATTTTCGAAATGGAACAAAAATGTAATAATGCGGAATGTTTAGAATAGTTAAAAAAAAAATAAAAACGCTTAAGCATTAGTAGACCGATAGATCAGCTTTATTTGCATATTCATTATTAAGAGAATATACCGATATATCCACGATATTCTTAAAAATAAGTTA